TTTGTAATTTGTAAAGTAATTCATTGGATTACAAAAAATAAAAAAATGAATCTAACATCAATACTTTTGAATGACTGAAAATATTGCATTAAAAAGAACTGATGCAGACACAAACTTCAACAAATTTTAAACATCCAGAAACATTTTAAATGCAAATTAAATGCCTGTTATGCAAACAGTTTTGGTGCAAACTGCTGGTGAACTGTATGTATTCTATAACACACGGGATGCTGTTTCTTTTGGGTTCAGTTTCTGTTGCTGCTCTTTTTTTTTTTTAATCGAGCCAGAAAAGGAGGTCTACTATGAAAAGATTGTTGCTGCTTGAACCTTCTGTTTCCCTTTGACTAAGAAACTCAGTACGTCAGAAGCCCTTTTCATGATTTAATAGCATTGATTATCACCACTATGCTGTGGATTTCTGGGGAGCTCACTTATTATTTTTTTTCCCTTGTTACCCTTTTTGTGTACAGATACAACATCTATAAAGCAAGTCGATGGAACTTTTAGATTTTTTGTCTTATGCTGGTTGACATCAGGAAAGATTTTTTATTTTGTTTTGCTAATCTTTGTCTTAAAGTGAACAGAAGTTTTGCATTACACTTTGATGGCAATGATAGCATTCATGCAGGTATCTTCATTAAAGTGAATCAGTGATGAATCGCCTTCATGCATGACTCATAAATCATTAATCAGTAATTTTATGCGCAGTCCATGATACGAATACAGAACCATAGAAACGCACATTTCACAAGTCATATCTTAGCAAGTGAGGTGCATTCAGATGTCTACATGGTCCATATGGTGACTTCATCATCTTTATTACCCTCATTGTCTTTTTTTGTTTCTCTGTTAAGCAGACTGAACTCGCTTGATGTCTTTTCTTCTCTTCCCTTGTGAAAACGGAGACCACAAGCTGATTTACAGTATTTTTAAATCATGAAAACTACCCAAAAACAGAGTGACGTTCTCTTACACAGGGTAAAATGCAGCCCTACAGCTACGGCCTATGCTAACTATCATCTCGGATTGAGCCCAAGATTTATGAAGCCCCCAGCTCTGACTACCATAGAGTCTTATTTTTAAAGCGTGACTCCCCCAGTTTAAGAATCAGGCTTGCTCTGCCTACTAATGGTGAACAAAGGTTTTATCTACAGTCCACAGCATCACTACAGCCAGTCGTCACTAATGCTGGGTTCATTCTTAAGTTCTCAATTCCATGTGTACTTCTGTATTAGTGTGGTCTGTTATTTTAAGCATGGGGGCTCAAAAGGTCATTTTTCACCCTTTGGGAGCAGTTTCTCAAACAGATAGTCAAGTCAGTGGTCCAATTACTGGGATTCCTGAGCTTTTGACCACAGCGCATGGTCTTCTCCAGTGAGCAGCACTGACTCAGATGTCCTCACATGACTGCAGTGCTCCAATAGTGACTGTAAATGTATTCATTGACAAACTTATTGGTGGGAGTGTTTTAGAGTCAGTGGAGCAGAACGGTAAGAAATAAAATAAATCTGGTACTGAAAAAAAAACAGTACTAACTAAAAAAGCAGCAGTAATTTAACAACTAAACTTTGTTCTGACTGTGTTTGACTTTGAGTTAATGATTGATAAATTAAGCACTGGTTCAAGCCAGAGAGTCAGACTCCTACGATCTCAGTGGATCAGCTGATTGCTCTGCTGATTCTTTTGGCAAATCTCCACCAGGGCACAATATCTGAGCTGCTTTTGGTCGTCTGCATTGCTGCTCTGCAACTCCAGTTCTTTTTTTTTGAAATACCTTATCTTAATAATCAAATACCATGTCTTATCTGATGATGCCTGCTCTGTTCTGTGCCTGTGGGACATTTGCTCTCCTCGGCAGAAGGTTTCCATGTATGCACATACAGGGAGTGCAGAAATATTAGGCAAGTTTTATTTTTGAGGATTAATTTTATTATTGAACAACAACCATGCTCTTAATTAACCCAAAACACTCATTAATATCAAAGCTGAATATTTTTGGAAGTTGGATCAGGCTTTGTTAGTTTTAGCTATTTTAGGAGGATATCTGTGTGTGCAGGTGACTATTACTGTGCATAATTATTAGGCAACTTAACAAAAAACAAATATATACCCATTTCAATTATTTATTTTCACCAGGGAAACCAATATAACAGCTCAACAATCACAAATACACATTTCTGACATTCAAAATCAAAACAAAAACAAATCAGTGACCAATATAGCCACCTTTCTTTGCAAGAACACTCAAAAGCCTGCCATCCATGGATTCTGTCAGTGTTGTGATCTGTTCACCATCAACATTGCGTGCAGCAGCAACCACAGCCTCCCAGACACGGTTCAGAGAGGTGTACCTTGTAAATCTGACATTTGATGAGGGACCACAGGTTCTCTATGGGGTTCAGATCAGGTGAACAAGGAGGCCATGTCATTAGTTTTTCTTCTTTTAGACCCTTTCTTGCCAGCCATGCCGTGGAGTTCTTGGATG